TCTCTTACCCCTTTGTTAACTCTGCTCCAATCCTGTTGCCTTGTTTCTCTTTGAAAGTGTAATTAGTAGTTAGACTAATTGACACTATTATATCAGGGTATGAGAAATGACATCCACTTATAACATATGCTAAATTCTTACGACAATAATATGATAATGAACCTACATCGATCGCTTAGTCTATGCTAGTAATCATACTGTTATATGTGTTATTTTGCTTAATCTTCAGAATGGCCCTATTAAATGTAGATGTTAGTAATACTTCTGTTTTGCAGATGAGGAAACTGAGGTTCAGAGAGATTAAGTTACTTGCCTACAGTCACGTGGTTAATACTCTGCTTTTAATTACTATGCCATACTGACTCCTAAAATGTTTGAGCAATCACTATAATTTCTAATTAATGAAATTGAAGTTGATAGTTGTTACTATATCAATATGCTGAATATTTTCCATTAGATTTTTTTAAGTTCCTTTTCCATTTAGTATTCTTAAAAATATGCTTCACTGGTAGAATTAGAGATTCTAGTGTTTCACTTATCATTATACTGATGATGATATTTCCTTTGAATTGTTTTATTGATTTTAGAGTTACCTTAATGATTGAAAATATAACTCAGCTCTGTAGAAGCCTATTAGCAAAGAGAGTCTGTGGAATCTTTGGATGTGGCCACTGATTTTCCAGGGATTGATCAGAATTGAATTTCTTTCCTTTTGTTTGTTTCTTTTTTCTTTTAGGCATTTAAAGCATTTTCAGTCAGCTTTGTTTAGGGTTAAGCAGGTTTTAAGAAGTGAAAATGCATTTTTAGTAATGATAATCTTTATAAAATCATGGTTAAATAACTTACCTAATGTAACTCATTGTCTGTAAGAGTCATTTGTGGCATTTGGTTTTCTTTTGTCAATGCTTGTTTGAAAGAATGTGAGAAAAATGTGTAAAATTGTAAGTAATTTTGTTTGAGGGCAATCTTATCACCCCCTTTATTCTCAGAAGTGAGATTGATGGGTTACATGGTGATTTTGTTTTAATTTTTTGAGGAACTCCCCATACTTTTTCAAAACTACAAGGGTTCTGTTTTTTGCTAACACTTGTTACCATTTTTCTTTATTATAATAACGAGTCTGACAGGCATGAAGTGATATCTCTTTGTGGCTTTAATTTAGATTTTCTTGATGATTAGGGATTTTGAGCATTTTTAATGTATATATTTACCATTCATATCTCTTCTTTAGAGAAATGTCCAGATCCTTTGCCATTTTTAAAATCAGGCTATTTATTTTCTTGCTATTGAGTTGTACAGATTCTTCTGAGCCCGTCATATAAACATATTTTTAATTTTTTTGAGGTAGATGGAATTGTGAAATGGATTCTATGTGGCTTGCCATGTAACATGCTTGAAATATTCTTTTGATAGGAAAATGAAACCAGTATAAAAGAAAATGGTTCAAATAGCATTTTAAGGAATGGGCAAGGTGTCTAGTCTGCATGTGATTGAATAAAAGATAATGAAACACCACTTCTCTTTTCCATAAGATTGTGTTCTTAGAGATGGACATGGTAGTTCCAGCACTTTGGAGGCTGAAGCAGGAGGATCACTGCAAGTTCAAGGTCAGCCTGCACTACAAAGTGAGACCCTGTCTCAGAAAGGGGCATGGGTCTGGGGATCTAGCTCAGCAGCACAATTGCCTACCTGGCAAGTGCAAGGTCCTGAGTTCAGTTCCCAGCACAAAAAAAAAGTAGGTCATGTCCTTATATTCCAAAAAATTTCAGAGAAAGTGAGTGCTTTTTCCTTTGTATATGTGTATTTTTGTTCAAGTTCAAAAAATGTAAAGTAATGTAAAGAGACTACCTACTGAATGTGGGGCAACCTTGAGGGTAGTATCACAGATGTAACTCAGACTCACTCATAGAGAATGAATATGACAATTTTCAGACGTACAGTCAACAAGAGAAGAAGGTAACTGAGTGAGAATCATAAGAGGAAGGGAAAGAGATAAAAGGGCACTAACGTTTATTAAGGCTCTAAAATATTATATGGTGCGTGGGTTCATTTCACATGTTGTTTCATTTAAGGTAAATATGGCCATAAAGAGAAAGATTACCTTGGAAGACTGTACTGAACTATTAACTTGGAAATGTAGCAGGAAAGAGAGTTTGATTTGTGCATTGTATATAATTTTGTTGGCAAGAAAGATGTAGAAAGCTGTTATTCCAAACATTTCTCCGTTTTGGCCACTAGGTGGTGACATTGTATAAAGACAGCTTGGTTGCTGGCAGTCAAAATTTAGTGTGGTAGTAGATACATATATTTAACAACTAAGACCAAGAATATCCCTTATTTTTTATATTGGTCTCTCAACTTTGTAGTACATTTGTAGTGATTTTAGTAAACTTTTTATATTTAAGTTGTGTAACCTACCTTGAAGTATTTTATAAATACCTCTGCCTGATGATAAACTGTGCCTATCAATGATAAACTATATATGATAAACAGGTAAAAAAATCCCCCCTGAAAATTTCACATACCACAGCAAAAAAAAATTTATATAGATGATGTATCTAAGAAACATTGAAAATATATTAAGTAAAATAAAAATGTACATGTTTGTAATGTGTTTACTGTTTTACTGCTTAAGGCATAGATATATGTGCATATGTGAAAGTTGAGCTAAGGAGGAAAGACAATTCAGAAGTTCCTCTCATCTATGAATAATCATTGCACTTTACTGGATATGGATAACCTACCTCCCTTGTGTCTTCTTACATTCTCTTCTGAATCTCACTACCAACTCTCCATATTTTCAAAATCAAAACAAGTGATGAGGGCTGGGGATTTAGCTCAGCAGCAAAGCGCCTGCCTGGCAAGCGCAAGGTCGTGAGTTCGGTTCCTGGCACCGGAGAAAAACAAAACAAAAAAAAGAAATAAAAAAAAAAAAAAGTGATGAGTAGTGTATTTTTTGTTATGGCTAAAATAGCATAGTTCTCTCTCACACATTTCAAGTTGTTGCTTCTCAGTTAGCAGGATCTGTGTTACTGGGTTGGAAGAAAATAGGTCTTCATTATTCCCAAGTTGGAACTCTAAATGCAGCTCTCATAGAAATAGTATTTTTGGTGGTAGTTAAATAAAGTTAAAGTGGTATCATCCACAGCCATAATTTTAAAAATCAGACCTCTCTTTTCTAGGGTTTTGGGCTCAGTTTTCCATATTTACAAGAGTAAATGATCTGGAAATACATTTTCACTAATGCAAAATGGAATTTTCAAACTAAACATGAGTTCTTCCTTAAAACCTACCTTATTTTCTCCATCTAGAAGTGATATACAATTGTATATTCTAGAAGTTCTCTTACAGTCTTTTTTAAGGATCAAGTTCTATGTTATGTTAATATTATGTGAATTTTATCATCCCAACTATACTTGTTTTTATGTTAAAGGTAAACTTTCTTTTTTAGCTTTATATCTGTTATTGACAGAATCTTATGGAGTGCCTTGTATATAGTAGGTGCTTAATAAAATATATCAGCTGTTTGAGGAAGGCTTTAAATGGTTAATACCAAGTAATATTTTAAGAAAATTAGCTATGACTGAAAATTACTTTTAATACGTAAGTTTTATACATAAGTTGTTTAATTGGCTATTATGGTAGAAGAATTCCTGTGACCAATTGTTTGATTTCTGATAAATGGGTGTTATGGCCTTCCATGTTATAAAGCAATACTAGTTTTATTTTAGAACTCAGAACACATTCTTTCATACCTACCCATAAAATTTAGTGCACATATCACTTAGTTTCATTGTTATGGTCCAGATTACTGATTTTTTTTGAGTCACTGATCCTGTTGAGAATCTAATTAAAACTATTTAAACCCCAGAAAAATGCACATATATTACCCAAACCCCAGAAAAATGCACATATATTACAAAGATGATTCTTTATACTGTTTTAGAGAGTTCATAAACCTTGTATTAGGAACTTTTGCTTTAGATTCTGGGATAGATTGCAGCTGCCTAGTCAAGAAGCAGCATGATGTAATAGAAAAATGTACTATATGTAAAATCAGTTGATCTGAGTTCTAGCTGTTTTGTATCCTTAATAAATATGATGTCACATGGAAGGTCATTTAACCTCTTCTTGCCTATATAGTTGTTGGATTAAAGATTAAACAAATTAGCACTAAAGTTATAGTTAGAATAGTACTGAGTACATAGTATACTTCCCAACTTGTGTGTCTAGTTTTAATTCTACTGTCTTATAAAGGATTTTTAAATTTCATAATAGTGCCTTTTGTCTAATTATCTTTCCTTTAAGAAAATTATATGTTTATATATTTTTCATATATATTTCTGTATAGTTTTTTAATCTTTTTTTTTTTTTTTTTTTGAGACAGGGTTTCACTATGTAGTTCAGGCTAGCCTTGAACTCACTTTATAGCCCAGGCTGAACTCGAATTTGCAGCAATCCTCCTGCCTCATCCTCCCAAATGCTGGGATTATACGCATGTACCACCATGCCCAGTCTGTATACATATTTTTTGAAACTTGAGTAACAATCAGTTTGTTCTGTTAACTTACATGGCAAGTTGTAAGCTGTGTCCTAATATTTTGGTATCTCAGTGCAGACAGTAGTAGATGATGTACCATCTTACTGCAATGCTGTAATTGAAAATCCCAAGTCAGAGGAAGTTATATCTGTGAGTGTATAAAAATAACTGGAGAAAGGGCAGTCAAAACATCTACTTCAAGATGTTATATTGTTGTATTCATGAAGCTTATTAAAGCAAATGAAATTTTCCCTTATAATTACACTTGCTAAGAACTTTGATCTTTTTGGCAGTTGGATATATTATATCTACTGGAAGTCTATTATTCTTTATGTAAATATTTTTTACAAAAGCAGGATTCTGTTAATGTCTATGTCAGCACCAAACAGGTTGTGATAAAAATATGTAACTTTTATGTATTACCCAGTAAGATAAACAATTATTTTTTTATTTTAATTAGGGAAGAAGACAAAGACATATTTGATTACTGCAGGGAAAACAACATTGACCATATAACCAAAGCCATTCAATCAAAAAGTGTGGATGTGAATATGAAAGATGAAGAGGTATGAAAAACATGCCCTACTAATTATTTTGACTTCTGATGACTGGATACTATGGCCTCATAGCATTATAAAACATACTAAGTTAATTTCTCTTATGCTTTGTTGTTCTGCCCCACTGCCTTTTTGTAAATGGTGAGCTTTTGAACTACAGCTCAAAGTCCAATATGGTTGAGAGCATATTGTCACCCATGTAAAATACTTTCTATGTCTACAGGTAAAATACTTTCTATTTCTAAATGTAACATATTTCTGAGCCAGGCATGGTGGTGAATGCCTGTAATCCTGGCACTTGGGAGGCTGACGGAGGAGGAATACAGTGAGTTCAAGGCCATCCTGGACTGTATAGTGAGTTCAAGGCCACTCTAGACTATATAACAAGACCCTGTCTGAAAAACAAAACAATAAAAAGTCTAACATATTTCTAGTCAGGGTAGTAGAGATTACTACTGAAATTTGGCATAGTCAAAGAACTTCCATAAATAACTTTATGATAAAGGCAAAGATTTGACATAATAACTAAAATCTATAGGCAATAACCAAAATCTCATTTATATAGAACCCTATATCTTTTATCCTTATAACATAAATGGGTGGTTATGAGTTTGATTCCTGGTACCAGGAAAAAAAACCATAAATGGGTATATTCTTTGTTCAGTAAATAATTTTTAAAAATCCATATTAGGATTTTAGTAAATCCAACAGTTTAAAATTGGCCCATTATTTATAAAGAGACCCTATACTAAATTATTTTGTAGAATATATTACTTTGTAATTTATCTGTTTGGTGAAAAAAACTGTTTACATATTGAACTTAATAATTTTTCTCAGTCTTTAGTGATCCTCTGAAAAATTATTGAAATAGCCAAAAGGTGATAATTTTTATAAAGAAATGAATGATCATAGATAATCTGTCAAATCACAAGTTATGGATAGTATGAGCTCCCATACAGGTTAGCCTTTAGTAATATCTCAGCTTTTTTCCCTATAATATGTTATCAGTGACATCTGAAATTGAAAATGCAAAATTATAATACTACATTAAAGGGGGGCCAATAATACTGATTGTTCTCCACTAAATAATGAAACGAAAAGAGCCAAGACAAATGTGGCTAGAGAAAAGTAGAAGCCAAACTGTGAAAGAGTAATTCTAGACCTTCTAATTCCAGTTAGGGTTTGTGGTGTGTGTGTGTGTGTGTGTGTGTGTGTGTGTGTACACACACACATGCATGCATACACGCACATGGGCACACACTACTTTCTGTATTTTATTTTCAAAAAAAATTTTTTAAACAAATCAAACATAATTGCTTTCCTTGATTTTATTGTTTTTATTTTGTTACTTGTGCTTTAAGATTTTTATAAAATAATTTATGTAGATAAGCTTTTTAAATTAAATGATACTATTAGTCTTATAACAAAGAAGAGTACTCCCCCACCTGCATCCTTCTCACATTGTGGCTCCCTTGAGGCAAAAGCTTTCAGTTTTTTTAGTTTTTCTTTTGTAGTTTGCATATATAATTATAAATAATACACTTGTCTCTTGATTTTTCAACCTGAGACATTGATGTCCTCCTATATTATATTTGGATTTAACTTTTTATCATATTTTCCTCTGTTATTCTCTGACCTCTCATATGGTTATATCACAACTTTTAATTTTAGCCTTCTGGTTGAATCTGTTGAATTAATGTTTATGTTAATGTGACTGTAAATATGGTTTGTTGCTAGCCTATGGACTTCTGTACTATGTGTTTTCAGTCACTTTTGCTATAGTAACAAACAACCCCCAAAGTTCAGGGGCTTACAACAACAAACATTTATTTCTTGTTTATATCACCATTTCATCAGACAGATGATATAACATAGATGTTCTCATATGTTTTTATTTTGTTTTGCTTTGTGTTTATCTGTCTGATATTTTAAAAAGGCTTTGAGATCAGTCCAGGCTGTCTTAGGTTTGCTGGCCTTTTGAGGCTCAGTTCATCTTTTTGGGGGGAACAGGAAAAGGGTGTTGCTCTGTAATTCAGGCTGTCCTTGAATTCACTGTGTAGCTCAGGCCGGCATCAAACTTGTGGCAAGCCTCCCAAGATCCGGGATTACAGGTGTGTGTCACGTCACTGGGCTAAGGACTCAGTTCATCTTAATTTCATGTGTCTTCTCGTTTTGAGAAATAATTTCAATAAATAGACACTCTGGAGCAGGAAGTAAAAGCAGACAGAGCCAGACTCCACAAATAACATTTAAAACATGTGACCTGGGTCACATCTGTGCACCTTCCTTTGGCCAAAATAAGTTATAAGGTTGAGGCCCCAATCATTTTAATAGGAAGTATGCCCTGAATATGCCAAGCAAAGCAAGGGTGGGAAAGAAATGAATAATTATATAATTATGAGTAATAATATCTACTTGCCATGGTATAATATTTTGTTTTTTAAAGATTTATAGTTGTCTCTTTTTGTACTGACATTGTCTTACCTTCTGTGTTCCTATCATTAGTTCTTCCCTCAATTTGCCTACAGAGATATTTCTCTACAGTTGAATGCATCAGGAATGAATCCCACATTTTTCTTAGATATATATCTTCTAGAATGTTTTTTCTCCATGTCTAATCTGTACTCCTTGCTGTCTAGGCCTATTGCATAGATATTATCCTGGGAGGTTTTTTTCTTTTTTAAATTTTTTAAAACTTTTATTAGTACATGTTTGCAATACACAATGATTACATTCACCATAGGGAATTGGTACATGTGCATAACACATTTCAATTCTTTTTTTTTTTTCCCTTTCCCTCTACCACCTCTACACACACATACACATACACACATCCTGGGAGGTTTTTTTTTCTCTTTCCTGAAAATTTCCTTCTCCTTCTGCCTGGATTCTCCTGTTTTCTGGAGCCTGTCTTTATTTTTTATTGTTACTTCCTTATTTTGATGGGGTATCTTCTCCAACAGATTACTCTTTTAGTACAGCATTTATTCTAGTAGCTTCCTGAAAAAAGTAAATGTTTTGAGGGTTTTTTTTTGTTGAAAATAAATGTTTCTGAGCCAGGTGTGGTGGCACATGACCAATAATTGGGAGCCTAAGACAAGAAGATTGCTGTGAGTTCAAGGCCAGCCTGGGTTACATAGTGAGCTAAAGGCCAGCCTGAACTAGTAGCGAGACAGTATCTAAAAAAAACACAAACAAAACAAACCTAATAGAAAAAAATGAATGTTTCTGTTGGAGTCCTTGGCAAATACCACATACTCATTAAATATTTGATGAATTAATACCTGATTGAATAGATATAAATGATATAGTGTAATGGTGAAGAGCTGTACTACCTTAGTGCTTTACATCTTAGCACTGTCACTTCCTATCAACCTTACTCTATGTCTGTTTCTTAATGTGTGAAGTGGGGATAATAGTCATCTTGCCTTGGGGTTGTTTTGGGGTCAGTGAGTTTGTATTATATATATGGCAAGTAAATAGTACCTGATACACACATAGTAAGCAACAAAATAAATGTTATTTTCTTTGATTATTCTTAATATCAGTGAAGAAATAATTTAAAAAAACAACTTTTCAAGGTCAACTTTTTACTGGGAAGTGTGATATATGTACTGTCTGATCCTTATTAAAATTTCTATCTTTCAAATTATAAATAATACTTTACATAGTGTATGTTTTAGTGTACAAAGCACTTTTACTTATTACTGTATTATGTTCACAATAATTTTCAAAGTTAGATATTATCCTGATTTTACGTATAAGACCCAACATTCAGAGATGAACATTCACTTCCTAAAACACATCCAACTGCTAAGTGGAAATCAGATCTGGAAGAGTATTCATCTCACCATTGCATTTGAGAGTAATAAAAATAGAAGAAAAGGAGGAGTTGTTTTCAATTGGATCTACCTAGTTACATTCTAATTTGCAAAACAGAGTTTTATAAAACATTACCAAAAGTCAGATTCACATGTGACTTCTGCAGAGATCATTAGATGGACAGCAGTGATAGGGAATACAATAAGTGCTTAGTACACAAATAGTTTACACCAGTTAACATTTTTTTTGTAAAAATAAAAGAAAAACATGCAAAGTGTATAGCTTCTACAATTTCATACTTTGATGTAGTACTGCTTCCCAGCTCTTACAGTTTGTTACCTATGCAGCTACCTTTACCCCTAGCCTGCCAGAACATTGTGTTTCCATGAACAGATGAAGTGCTTACACATTCATAGACTGAGACGTCAAGAATTCAGTTGGGTTCTCTCATTGCTCCAAGCAGATTTCTGCCCTCTCAGCCATGACAACTTGGGCTGGGCTTTGAATACTGATGGCAAACCCTTTTATTATTAATCAGGGACTTGTATGAATTAATTTAAGAACATAAGGGAGATGGGACGTTTAAAATCAGAATCAAACTTAACATCCTGAATAAAATAAATCAAATTGCTTCATGACATTTAAAGCTCTAATAAATAAAACAATTTGATAAGACTTCATGATGGACTAAAAGTATATAACTTCAAAATTAAGTTTCTAGCTAAATACTTTTAGTTCTTATCAGTAAAGACATTGCCTTATTATAAAGTGGTTAACAATTTTAGTTTTAAAAGGACATCTAGTTCTTTGTGTTTATCTGATATTTGAACTTGAGATATTTCCCCGACTGACTGCCTAGGATTCTTTGAGATGATATGTTTTTATTTTAAAATGTTCTCTCACTAGATTCAACCAATTTTGCTCTTGTCCTTATATAACTAAAATTCATATTTATTGCACTTAAAAATTTTTATGAGCACATAAATTTAATTATAGTCATAAAATGATTAGAATGCACAGTGATAGTTTGCATGCCCACATATTCACAAACACAATGTTATTAAATTATTATAAATTTATAATTTATGTTATTGTGTTGCCTGAAATGCAAATCTTTGGATCTATGAATGAATATATATATAAGAAAAGACTTTTAAATAAAGTATATTTGTAGCTTATAGTGACAT